TCAACGGCTGCACGCGCTGCGCAGGCTGAGGTCTTAGGGCAGATGCAAAGTTATCCATAAAAACTTTTACTCCGTAGTTGTTCAGATGTGGACCTTTTTCTTCAAAAAGCTCGTGCCTATTCCAGAACAGATTAAAGTTTTCAATGAAGCCAAGTCCTCTGCGTGAACACTCATTGAGTAGGAATGTATTTAGCTGATACAGACGGCTAAACTTCTCAATTTTTCCATCTATATTTGGAAGTGGGCCACTAAGAAAAATGTTTATGTCCATTTTCTTGAGGTCATCCAGTAACAGCGTTAAATCCATTCGTAACTTCTCGCTTGCCTTCTCATAGATATCTACCGCCCCCGTGTGGATCAATAATGTACGCACACCACTGTTCTCAGATAACACTTTAGGCAGGAGAGTCCTTATCTCAGCAACTTTTGCAGAGTGAACTGAGACAGTGAGCATGGACTCCATGTTTACATTTTTCACCGAACCATCTCCGATAAGGACACAGTTTGTCCTTGGTGGAGGCGCTGCAGTTGTTAGCGGCTTTGTTGTTTCAGAAAGGGGTAAAAAGCGGTTTGAAGTCTTCAGAACATTTAGTTGTGGCCTTATTTCACTCCTATTGTCATTCTTAGCTTTGTCAACTTTGGGTTTAGCTCCACAATTGTTCCAATAATTCTCATTGTTGATTTTGGGAAAAGAAATGACGTCATAACTTACATTTCCAGTCTGTCCATTCATCCCATTTTCACTCATTGGAAGAGTCGGGTTTAATCCCATTTCTGTTTCCACAATAGATATCCGTGTTTGAAGAGATTTGAGCTGATTTTCCAAAGCACAACAGCCACCGCAGACGCTTCTCCGTCTCTTTCGTCCCGACATGACTAAAGTTGATAAATTCCACAAAGCTGAAGTGTGTAGAAGGAGTAATCCTCGTTTTGTAAATAAAATGATTAAAGGAGAAACAAAAAATGTAAATAAAATGATTCAAGGAGATTAAAAGGCGAAGCAAAAGCAGAGCAGAGCAGAGAGACACGACTGCTCTCTCCAGAAGCAGGAAGCAGTGGGGAGAACGATGTCTCCAGGCAGCAGTTTGGACAGCAGGCCACAGTTTTCAGTCACATGCTTGTCACTGGCTCGGCCACCCCATCCTTTTGACAAAAAAGAGACGGCTCCCTGATTTTCAATGAAGGTGCCCAATCTGGATTTGACGAGTGGTACAACTCAGCTCTCTTCCCTGCAAATAAAAATAAATAATTATCTTAAATAAGTTCATATATTTCATTCATATATTTGGTATATGACTCAGACAGCATTACATTTTGAAAGTCATGTATATAATATTTACATTTGTAGGATTGTAACAGAATTATATAGACAATATTTTGTCATAAGTATGTATGTGCTGTGTTTGTTTACATTTTACCACAGATATCAGATGACTGAACCTTGATCAAGTTGTTGGTGTTATTTTGTAATCCAAACATGGCACACACCAGACTTACTTTTACCCAACAGTTTCACAATTACAAAAGGTCATGATGTATATAATGCAATATCTATTTCAATCATTAATTTATTTTGAACGAAGCAGTCATGTCACAGTCCGTAAATCACTGACCCACGGCCATACAAGCTTCTGTCTACCACCCTTTCCTCCTCCTCCTCCTCCTCCTCCTCTCATTCATTTAGAGGGGATTCCTTGAGGCGCACATGGTATCAGTCAAATCGCAGCTCTGAATATAAACCACACATGCACAGGTTTAGCTAGCTCTTACCTGTTATGAAATGGTCAGAACAGACCTTGTAGTGCCGTTTTTAAGGGTCAGGGTTGAATCCCTCTCGGTTGATCCTAGCCGGTTCTTCTCTCCCTCGAGAGTCGCTCTGTCTCGCTCCCCTGGCTCGTAATTAACTTCGGAAGGTCGAAAAAACCTCTCTTTACGTCCCCACAACCTGCACGGTTAGTGCACCCCCAAACGATACAGGTAGTCGGCATGTTATAGCGCAAATAAAAGGGATGTGATATGGTTTGTTTAGCTACAACCATGGACTGTATGCTACAACTAGCAGGGCTTGCCTATCAAGATGGCGCAATGCGGAATTGTGGGTAGTGCGTGACGTCATCGAAGAACCATCTATTGACACAAACTTAATTTTGATATTTTTTTTCTTCAGTTAGACAGCAAAAAATAATGTCATGTTTAAAGCTGTAATTGTTTCCGTTTTAATAAATAAAAAAATCTTACATCATGGTTGTGTTTTTTCTGTATTATCACATATGGTCCACGCTTTAGATTAGGGTACTGCAAAATAGTGTAATAAGCAGCTTATTAACATATTTATAGGCATATTGTTAGTGTCCTATTAACATGGTATCAATAATAGTTTAATAAGCAGCTTATTCATATATTTATAAACATATTCCTCCTTTAATAAGCATCTTACTAATTACTTATTAAATGCTTAAAAGCATATAAATAGAACAACAATTTGGAGAATAGTGAAATGAGCAGGTTTTAATGTTTATAAGCACATACAAGCAAATTGTTAGCATGTTACTAATGCCTATTAATACCGTATTAATACTTAACAAGCACACCTTAATATAAAGCGTTACCTCTTTATTTACAAAACTTCAACAAGTCCCACACACACTAATGTCTAAGGTTTGCAAGTGCTTTGGAAAAGGGAACTCCCAGGAAGCTGCAGGAGCTTATAGGCGGGGCCCAAAACAACACATGTAAAACACATGTGACACTTTATACCTTTATACTTTCATAAACACATTTCTAAACATTTGACCCACTCACACATCCTCACAGTTTCAGTCTGGACTCTTCCTTTTCTGGTACTTGGTCTTACTCATAGTAATGTCACTGGTGACACATGTGTATCCATAGCAACATACATGTTACATAATAAGTGACTTCATTTTACAGTAATTAACCTGAAATTAACACAATATCTGCAGCGAACAATAAAATACTGAGATTAAAACCATCAATAGTTAAACGCAGGTTTGCATTCTTCATTTCTGGAGCTAAATCATTCACATAAATTGCAGATAAAGTTGGAGAGAAGACAAACAGCCTCAGATCATTCACTGCTCACAGGCGAACAGAGCCTTGTGAAGGGATTTTATACATTTATACAAATATCCAGTAATGCTACATTTAATTCATTTTTATTACACGGCTCCTCACAGCAGCAGCAGAACGCTCCATTGATTTGAATGTAATTTCAAAACGTTCTACCGGTCATTATTTTTTATAAAAGACCTCTCAAAACAATAATGACCGCTGCCTTTTGGCAACGCACTCTCTGCTTGTAATCCAGGTGTGCGGATTGCTCCGCAAGTAGTTCCGGCCACTCCGGAGCTAGCCACGCAAATATCTATCAATCAACATGACTAAACAATAATCGGATAATACAGTATACATATACAGTCTTAAAACACATGCACGTTTTCAGAATTTTCTGTCAAGGTATTCATGACAAATATACTATTTTAATGCGACAAAACACGATTAGAAGTAGATTCCGGGACATTTCAGGAAAAATTTGCAGAAGATCGAATCATGGATTTAGGTTAAGTTTATGTTTGGGTCACTCACCGCTGATGTTCAGGATTTTTTGTTCAGTTTTCCTGCAGTTCGAGAGTGTCTAACTATTACTCGCATAGCTACGGGAAAGCCTTTGGAAACTATTTTATTTTCTGTCATTAAAATTTGGCATTCCAAAGAGTGGACTGAAGTTTATTTTGTGTGTTCTGTTGGTACAAAGCCGTATAATAAGCGGGATAATGTATAGTACACAGGTCATTATCGGAAAATAATGAATAATAATAATAAAATAAATACATAATTATCCCTTACATATTCCAGAAACTGTTTATCCAATCAAAGGCTTCAATCATAAAAACAAAGTAGTTTAGTTTTGCTGCAGTCTGGCTCGCACCACAGAGGACAGAACATAGATGTGCTCAATGCTCTGTTCTTCCTAAATCCATTCTGCTCATCGACCAATATCTGATGTTGTTGAATGTTTAGATCCAGAAAACAATGGGCCTCATTCACGAACGGTTCTTCGGAACAGATTTGTACGTAAATCCTACTTACGCGGTTTTTACGAAGAAAGTGGCATTCACGAATATTTCTCGTAACCAGAATTTCTCTTGGGCAAGTACAAATCCTACGAGTCCTCAGGAGCACTCGTACGCATTCAGTGCCGACATGTTCACACGCCGGGGTTGTCCTCTTTGGTGAAGTTTATTAAAAATACAACATTCCAGTGATATGTCCGTCATATCGATGTATGTGTAACCAGGCGGGTTACTTATGGGTTTTATTCCGGCGGTCAGTGAACGCACTCGCTCCCTCGCTGTCTGCCTACCAGCTGCGGCAGCTAATTAGCAGTAATGTAAAGCCGGTGCGCAAACCAGAGCAGCACACCTCTGGAGCTTCGGGTTTGGGGTCGTGTGTGTGGGGCCGAGGAGTAATGTGGTGGTCTGCTGGTGTCTGCTTCATGCCCGAGCTTCATATTGTGCCGGGTTGATGTTCATGCGAGTTAGCCGCTGCTGTTTGGTTTGGCTCATTAAACCTGTTGTGAATAGTGTTTTGTTTTCCTTCACTGCTATATCTTAAAGATTTTAATAACAATAAATAAAAGGTTGTATTTTTAACTATTGGTGTCAAAAATAAAACTTGTATATTTTTCCACATTTCTGCTTCGCTCGTGTTTGTTACCAGACTTCCCTGCCATTCTTAGAGGAACCCTAGCCTCGGCTTGGTCACAATTGGCGTTTGCTGGGAGGATCTGGTGAGCGAGGCAGAGTGTGAATTTTGGTTTACTTGTTAGGGTCAGGAAAATATAAATGTGTGTATATAAATAAAAATTTAAAAAAAAAAAAAAAATAAAAAAAAAAAATAGGTTTGAGAGCCAAATCAAACAGCAGCTGGCAGGCCGGGGGACGTGTTGGAGACTTGCTGACGTCCACAACTCCTGAGTCATGGCGGAGGAACTGCGGCGACTTCAGGAGAGGGTCCGTGAGTTGGAGGCGGAACGAGCCCAGCTGCACCAGGAGCGGGAGGCCGGTCCTAGCCTGAGAGGACAAGTGGACAACCCAGGGACTACAGAGACTGTCATCTACCTTCCTCGTGAACGAAAGTGCCCCATGTTTCGAGGAACTCACGGGATTGGGATTGATGACTGGGTGGAGGAGGTACGTGCAAGTATGCGCGTGAGACATGTTGGACCTACGGACCAGGCTGCGTTTATTTTTGATCATTTGGAGGGTGAAGCGCGTGATGAAATAAAGTACAGAACTGTGGCTGAACGGGATGACCCAGAGACTGTGTTCGCTGTTTTAAAAGAGTTGTATGGATGTCAAAAGCCTTATGTTTTGCTGCAGGAAGACTTTTTCTCTAGAAGACAGTTAGAGGGGGAAACATTGCAACAGTTTTCCCATGCTCTTTTCTGTCTAATGGATAAAGTTGTCGCTAATGCTCCATGTAGAATGACTAACTCGCAAATCTGGTTACGTGATCAATTTGTGGAAAATGTATATGATCCCAATTTGAGAAGAGAGTTAAAGCGGTTAGTGCGGGACAATCCAAACTGTGAATTGCTAGATATCCGGTCGGAGGCAATCAAGTGGGAGCGAGAGGGCAGGCCGGTTGAGGCGAGGCCAAATTTCCATGCCTTGCCTTCGTTATGTGCTACTCAACGGGCTAATCTGCAGTCAGTCCCTCCGGGTAATGATGCCTTAGTTCAAATCACCGCCCTTACTGCTTTAGTTCAGAAGCAACAGGAACAACTAGCACAAATCACCCAAGCCCTTGCCGCTTTGCAATCTCCGCCAGCTGAATTCTCGAGCCCTAACGTTGTGGTATGTTATCGTTGCCAGCAGCCAGGCCATATTGCTCGTTTCTGTAATTCCCCTTCTCGTCCCCGACCCCGAACTTTAGCCACCACTAACTTTCAGCCGCTGGGAAACTAGCGCCCCCTACTGTAAGGAGCCAGACAGTGGGAGGGGATGGGTTAGGCTCAGGAAGTCCAGTGGGAAATGAAGTGGAGTGTTTAATGGCCCCTTGTCCTCAAGTCAGTGTTAAATTGGCTGGGGTTCCCATTCAGTGTATTCTTGATACTGGGTCTATGGTGTCCACCATTTCAGAGTCCTACTTCAGGCAGCATTTCCAGGACAAGTTAAAGTCATGTCATTGGCTAGAGTTGAGGGCTGCTAATGGGTTGACGATCCCCTACCTGGGTTATCTTGAGCCTGATGTAGAGGTCAATGGGAAAGTTATTCCCAGGAGAGGAGTATTGGTTGTTAAGGACCCCCCAGGGCAGGCTAGCTCCACTTCAGTTCCGGGAATTATCGGGATGAATATTATAAAAGCATATTACGAGCAGCTTTCTCACCAGGACGGAGCTAATTTGTTTAGCAATACTTCCCTGTTGGAAGCCTCCACACCCTGGTTACCGGCGTTTCAGCTTTGTATGCAGGCAGAGGCACAGAGTTGTATGGCTGGCGAGGCGGTGGCAAAGGTTCGAGATCGAAGACAAAATGTTATCCCTGCTGGCACGACAAAATTTGTGGCCGCTACCTGTCCTGCTGCAGTGGGTGCTACGGGGACTAGCCTAGCTGAGCCCCTGGGTCATGGGTTTAGTCTGCCTCCGGGGTTAGTGGTGTCACCCACCCTGGTTAATGTTGTTAGAGGGACCGCTTACATACCGGTGACAAATGTTAGTGGGTCCCCGGTGACTTTAAAATCTCGTTGCTCCTTGGCCCTAGTAGCCGCTGTTGAGGTAGTCAGCTTGCCATCGGGTGTGCACGAAGTCCGTGACGAGCGTGATGCAGTTATAGCTACCGTCCGGTCTCACACTGCCAAGAGGGGTTCGGTGCGAGAGAACATACTAGGTCTTGATCTTTCTATGCTGCCGGAAGCAGACCAGCTTAAAGTCCGGGAAATGCTGATCACCTATGAGTCTGTGTTCTCCGCGTTTGACGGGGACTTGGGTTGTACTGGGCTCATTTCCCACGATGTTCCTCTTTTAGACCATGCACCTGTGCGCCAGCGTTATAGGCGTATTCCTCCCTCAGAGTATGAGTCTGTTAAAACGCACATTAATCAGCTGCTGGACACGGGGGTAATCCGAGAGAGCAGTAGCCCTTACGCCTCCCCTATAGTCATCGTACGCAAGAAGGATGGCTCTCTGCGCCTGTGTGTAGACTATAGGCAGCTTAATAAGAGAACCCGAAGAGACGCTTTCCCTCTGCCCCGAATTGAGGAGTCCCTGGACTCTTTGTGCGGGGCCCAATGGTTTACCACCATGGACTTAGCGTGCGGCTACCACCAAGTACCAGTGACGGAGGGTGATAAGTCAAAGACTGCATTCTGCACACCCTTTGGATTATACGAGTTTAACAGAATGCCATTTGGACTATGTAATGCACCCGGGACTTTCCAAAGGCTCATGGAACGAATGTTTGGTGCACAGCATGGGCAATCCCTGTTACTATATCTCGATGATATAATAGTATTTTCTTCAACAGTCGAGGAGCACCTAAAGCGACTGGAGATGGTGCTTGGCCGTCTGCAGCAAGAAGGACTAAAAGTGAAGTTGGAAAAGTGTGCCTTCTTTCAGAGAGAGGTGCAGTACCTGGGGCATCGCATCTCAGAGAATGGGGTCTCGACCGATCCGGGGAAGATTTCTGCGGTGTTAAACTGGCCTCGCCCGAAAACTGTCTCTGAGCTGCGGTCCTTTCTCGGCTTTGCCTCCTATTACCGTAGGTTCGTGGAGGGGTTCTCAAAGATAGCTGCTCCCCTACATCGTGCCGTGGCAGAGTTGGCTGGACCCACCAATCGCAGGGGTCGAGGAACTCAGCTGGACGAGGCCTGGTCAGCGGAGTGTGAGGAGAGCTTCACAGTGATGAAGGCCCGCCTGGTGAGTGCACCCACTTTGGCATTTGCTGATTTCACTTTGCCATTTCTTCTAGAGGTGGATGCCAGCCACTGTGGACTAGGAGCAGTACTCTCGCAGGAGCAAGGAGGACAAGTTCGACCCGTGGCCTATGGCAGTCGCAGCTTGCACCCTGCAGAGAAAAATTATAGCTCTATGAAACTGGAAATGCTGGCCATGAAGTGGGCCATGGCAGAGAAATTCAAGGACTACCTGTGGGGCCATTACTGTGTTGTGTGGACTGACAACAACCCACTGAGCCACCTGGAAACTGCTAAGCTCGGGGCTACGGAGCAGCGCTGGGTTGCCGAGCTATCTGCCTTCAACTATAGCGTGAAGTATCGGCCAGGGCGGATCAACAAGAACGCCGATGCACTCTCCCGTCAGAGGGACCTTACAGAGGCCAACCATGTCCCACTGGAGCACTACCTACCTGGTACCCCGGTTCCGGCATCCATCACAGAGGGTCCAGCCCAAGGTCAGCTGGAGGCCACCCAGTCCGCCATTGCTGTTTTGCCATCCCGCAGCTCAGCCGACTTGAGAGTGCTCCAGAGGTCCGACCCGTCCATCAGTGCTTTCCTGCCGTTCTGGGGCCAACAACGGGTGCCCAGCCGTGCCGAACAGGAGAAGCTGAGTTTACGAACTCGAGGGCTGGTGAAGCAGTGGGACCGTATCATACAGAAGGAGGGACTGTTATTCCGTCGTCTGCTGAGACCAGATGGAGGGGAGGAGGTTCTCCAGTTGTTGTTGCCGGAGTGTTTGCAGTCGGAGGTGCTGAAGGAGTTGCACCAGAACCACGGTCATCAGGGGATCCAGCGGACAACTGGGGTGGTGCGGCAGCGGTGTTACTGGGCAGGGATGGACCGTGATATAAAGGACTGGTGTCAGAACTGTGAGCGCTGCATTGTCGCAAAGAGCACCCAGCCCAGGCTTCATGCACCCCTGGGCCATGTACTTGCATCTCGACCAAATCAAATGCTAGCAATTGACTTTACATTGTTGGAACCTGCCCGTGATGGAAGAGAGTTGGTGCTGGTCATGACGGACGTGTTCTCCAAATTCACCCAGGCGGTGCCAACTCGTGATCAGAAGGCACATACAGTGGCGAAGGTGCTGGTCCAGCAGTGGTTCTATCGGTTTGGTGTTCCGGCACGGATACACTCAGACCAAGGGAGAAACTTTGAGAGTGCATTGGTCCAACAGCTGTGCGCACTATATGGGGTCGAGAAGAGTCGGACCACCCCTTACCATCCGCAGGGCAATGGACAATGTGAGAGGTTCAACCGGACTTTGCACAATTTGCTCCGCACGCTCCCCCCTGAAGAAAAGCATGACTGGCCCAGTCACCTCCCACAGCTGGTGTTCAACTACAACGCAACCCCCCATCAGTCTACTGGCGAATCGCCCCACCTGTTGATGTTCGGCCAGGAGCCCCACCTCCCTGTGGATTTTCTTCTTGGAAAACTTCCTGAGGCTGGGAGAGTGGTGGACTGGGTGGCAGAGCATCGGAATCGCTTGCAGGTGGCTATGGATGCTGCCCGCTGTCGGATGGAGGTGGCAGCCCAGCAAAGGAAGGAGAGACACGACAGCCAGACCCTGTGTCCGCCGCTCGAACCAGGCCAGAGAGTGTATCTTCGGGCTGTTGGCCCAGGGCGCAGGAAAATTCAAGATATCTGGGGTCCGACAATGTACCAGGTAGTGAAGGCGCCGGCCCAACAAGGTGTGGTCTACTCAGTCGCCCCCGTCGACAGGCTTGACCAAGTAAGACAAGTGCATCGTACTGCTCTGAAGCCTGCTTTGCCCCCTCCAGAGACCAGTTCGAACGTCTGGCCACAGGTGGCGTTCGTAGAGGACGAGGCCAGGGGAGATGAGTTGGAGTTGGGGGCTTGGCTGGTGGTCAGGGAGTCGGTCAGTGCCCCTTCTACGCCGGTCGAGCCACTCGCCCGGGAGTTGCCTGTCGCCAGTCCATCTCCAGTGGTGCCTTCTCGCGCCGGGTCTGCATTGCGTAAGTCGACACGTAAGACCGCAGGGCAGCATTCCAATCCCCATCGCTTACCGGGTCCGATCCACCACGAGGAAAATAGGGTTGCTGCCTCTCGGATCCAGGCTGCCAGTAGCTTAGCAACCGCTATATTCCGCCCGTGGTCATAGGTGGTGTTAACCGGTGGGACACCGATTCAGTTGGGGGGGGTAGATGTAACCAGGCGGGTTACTTATGGGTTTTATTCCGGCGGTCAGTGAACGCACTCGCTCCCTCGCTGTCTGCCTACCAGCTGGAGCAGCTAATTAGCAGTAATGTAAAGCCGGTGCGCAAACCAGAGCAGCACACCTCTGGAGCTTCGGGTTTGGGGTCGTGTGTGTGGGGCCGAGGAGTAATGTGGTGGTCTGCTGGTGTCTGCTTCATGCCCGAGCTTCATATTGTGCCGGGTTGATGTTCATGCGAGTTAGCCGCTGCTGTTTGGTTTGGCTCATTAAACCTGTTGTGAATAGTGTTTTGTTTTCCTTCACTGCTATATCTTAAAGATTTTAATAACAATAAATAAAAGGTTGTATTTTTAACTATTGGTGTCAAAAATAAAACTTGTATATTTTTCCACATTTCTGCTTCGCTCGTGTTTGTTACCAGACTTCCCTGCCATTCTTAGAGGAACCCTAGCCTCGGCTTGGTCACATATGTATTTATTTATTTGTAGTAATCTTTATTTATATACCGCCTTTTTCACTGCAGATCTGGCCTACTTTTTAATTCATTTTGAAATGAAATGTGCCAACGCTTTATCAAATACATTGGAAATCTTGCCGTGTATTAGTGACCCCTTCCTATTTATAGGGGGCATTTCTTTATCCACGGGCCACAGAACAACGGCATATATACTGCTGCTGCAGGAGGTTACTGGGTCCGCGCTGAGTCTCTGCGCTGGTCTCTCCTATGGATCTATACGGGTCTGCACTGGTCTCTCCCATGGATCTATACGGGTCTGCACTGGTCTCTCCCATGGATCTATACGGGTCTGCACTGGTCTCTCCCATGGATCTATACGGGTCTGCACTGGTCTCTCCCATGGATCTATACGGGTCTGCACTGGTCTCTCCCATGGATCTAGACGGGTCTGCACTGGTCTCTCCCATGGATAGACGGGTCTGCACTGGTCTCTCCCATATACGGGTCTGCACTGGTCTCTCTCCATACGGGTCCGTGCTGCATGCTCCTGGATCCATACGGGTCCGCGCTGGTCTCTCAAGTCTGGTCTATGCGGTCTATCTTCGGTCCGCGCTGGTCTCTGCGCACCGGTCTCTCCAGTCAGGTCACTCCAGTCTATGCGGTCTCTCCTGTCCGCGCTGGTTTCTGTGTGCTGGTCACTCCAGTCTCTCCTCGGGTCTGCATTGGTCTCAGCGCTGGTCCGCGCTGGATCTCCTCCCAGGGTCCAAAATATTTTGAGATTAATCTCAAAACATGATGAGATTCATCTTTAAAATAATACATAATATATTTTTAAATTAAGCTCATAACATTTTGAGATTAATCTCATCATATTCTTAGATTAATCTCATAATTTTGCTAGTTCGACTTTATTATCATAATATTTCGACTTTTAAGTCAACATTTTATAACTTTATTCTCAGTCTGGTAAAAGAAGAAAAAAGGGTGACTCTTTTGCTCTGTGTAACTGCTTTAGGCCTGTTGCTGTTTCCTCTGGCGTCTGCACACGACCCTGCAGTCCCTTATATGGGCATTAGTGGGCGGTTACTTATGCTAAGTACCTATGCTAATGAAGCACCTGGCACGCGCGCTGTACTTACGAGGAAATGGGATTAATCAATCTGAGAGAACAGCTGCGAACAATTCAGCGGCTTAAGAGTGCGTTGATGAATCCCACGTGGGGACTTCTTAGAAATCTACTTAAGGACAACTTGAGAAGAAAGTTGAGTAGTTTCTTACGAAGTTATTCGTGAATGAGGCCCAATGATTCTACTGCACTTATCAGGCTGCTTCCTCTGCTTCAGTGGATTCTCTGCTGGAGAAGATTTGGGGATAGGCTTCATGCTCACCCTCGCTGCCCTTCTTCCCTGAACGTGTTTTATCACAAACACAGAAGGAAAATCCAGCCACAGACCACAAAAGGACTAAGACAAGCTGCAAGAAGAAAACACACTTTATCCAGCATTCAAAAAGAAAAGAAGAAGTGAGGAATCTGAAACAGCAAACACAAATATAAACATACATGAACAACATGATTGGGACGTGTCATAAACAACACGACTGTTGGCTCTTGGAGGAAACAAGGAAGTAGAGGAAAGGCCTGTGGAAGGAAGTGAACACTGTCCTCAATAAAGCATCAGAAGACAGACTCTGCCTCAATACTGTGGAAGTCATGGAGCAGAAATAACACACATGAAAGAACTAAACTACTGCTTTATCCATGTGGGGCCAGAGCTGCATCAACCATTCAAAACAACAACAACTCTCACAGGTTCTGAGTCCAACACTGAAAAAGAAGTCCTAGCCATTGTTCAAAGCATGAAAACAAAAAGGTCACAAGATCGAGACGATGAGTTTGACGTCTGCACGACCAAAGAAGTCATCAGTGACATTTCCCGGCCCTTAACTCATATATTTAAGCTAACGTTCTCTACTGGATCATTCCCATGTCTAATGACAACTGCAGAAGTCAGACTCATTCACAAACCAGGAGACAAACTGCTCTAACTAGAGCCCAACTCTATCTTATCTCTATGTTCCAAAATACTGGAAACGCTCTTTGTAAATAGAATGGAGTCATTTATTGAAAAACACAACATCCTAACAATCAATATGGATTTAGAAAGGACAAATCAACTGAACTTGCATTATTGTCTGGACTAGTTTTCCTCCTTTGATCTTCCTTCATGGTCCCAAACAGACAACATATTTGTATTCATCAGTTCATTTCTTTGAATGAGGGCAGTACATATGAATGTGTCAGAAACAGCTTCAACATCAAGATGCTGGAATTAGCACAAAAGCTAAAATGCATCCTTTGTCCTAAAGCGGCAGAAGAAACACATGTTTAATATATATGCTCTGTATGTTCATGGGGAGGCTGCACCTTTTAACTTCTTTCTCCATTTAGAGCCCACCACTTGGAAACACAAATACATTTGTACAAACACATTGAAATTGTGAATATGCTTCAATAGTTTTTATCTGCAGTTTAGTTCAGAATAATAATGTCCCTCTCTGTCTCCTTCTTCATCACATGTCAGTTTGAATCTTAGACTTGATGCAGCTTTAAAGGAACCATAAGATTTTCCTTTCAGACAAAAACATGATGTATCCGAGTCTCCAGACACAAAGTAAAGATGTTCAAATCCACAATAAGTGTTTGGTCTGTAAAGCTCAGCAGCTGCAGCACAGGGTTAAGACTGAAGTGTGATCCTGTAGAGTCTGACTCTGGGTTCACATGATGCAGCCTCAGCTCTGTCTCCTTCACTTTGTTCCAGATGCTGCGTCTTCACACCTGCTTCTCACAGGTTTTATTGTGTTTATGAAGAGATGACCTTTGAGTAAAAGACTTTCCACACTTTTCACAGACAAATGGTTTCTCTCCAGTGTGGATCCTCTGATGCACTTTGAGATTAGACTTCTGAGTAAAACTCTGATCACAAACGTCACAGCTGAAAGGTTTTTCTCCAGTGTGGATTCTGCTGTGATTATTAAGATGTCCTCTTTGGGTAAAACATGTTCCACACTGATCACACTTGTACGGCTTCTCTCCAGTGTGGCTCCGATGGTGAACTGTGTGATCTGCTGCAGTTCTAAAAGTTTTACTGCAGAGGTCACATGCAAATGGTTTTTCTCCAGTGTGAATTCTCTCATGACTTTTGTAGCTTGAAAACTGAGTAAACTCCTTCCCACATTCTCCACAGACGAATGGCTTTTCTCCAGTGTGGATTCTGTGGTGCACAGTGAGGTGAGATAATTGTGTAAAAGTCTTTCCACACTGGTCACATTGGTGAGGTCCCTCTCCTGTGTGGACATGCTGATGCAGTGAGAGCAGATGTTTGATCCTAAATGTTTTTCCACAATGGTCACACTCAAATGGTTTCTCTCCTGTGTGGATCCTCTGATGAACTTTTAGATTACCCTCTTTTCTAAAACTCTGATGACAAACTTCACAGCTGAAGGGTTTTTCTCCAGTGTGGATTCTGCTGTGGCCCTTGAGAATTCCTTTTGTAGAAAAACTTGTTCCACACAGATCACACACGTATGGTTTTTCTCCAGTGTGAGTTCTGTAGTGGGTCTTTAGTTTGGAAGGAGAGCTGCAGGTCTTTCCACACTGATCACAGGTGACCCCCATTCTGTAGATGGACTTTGTAGATCTGCAACAAACACAACAAAGACATGTCAGATCATTATAATCACACACACACACACACACGGCTGGCTTTGACGATGCGGTTCTTTTGTCACCTCAGGGTAGGGCTGGGCGATATGGCTGAAAACTATATCACAATATAAGTCATTCATATCGGTCGATAACGATATATATTGATCTTTATTTTTAAAAACGTAAATAAATACATTTGTTGTGTCGGCTAACACATGTTAGCAGCCTTGTTTACAGTCACGGGGGAATGAGGCTGCAGACAAATGTTCAGCAGTCTCCCCCACTTTAGTCCTGGTTTAATCCTGGTTTAGCTCCTGTTTTGGCTGTTTTCGAGGGTCTTGTGTCCCCGTGGCGGCTCCAGAAAAAGTTAATCTCTTGCTTTTGCCGAATGCATCGAGTCTCTGTACCCACTGCCTCTCCCGCGCCGCACATGTTGTTCCTCGCACGGACGTGTTTAACCATTGACACGGCACTGAAACGCCTTCTTTAGATCCATGGTTATTATAATAGATCCATGATCCATGGACGCTACGCATGGTGCGGTTGTTTTTACGTTTCCCAGAAAATTTTGCGGTTTGTAGTCGGCTGTGATAGGTCGAGAAGTCTCTGCCTGCATCCCCCAGAATGCCGCGCGCTTCTGACTCGGCTTTACTTCCTGTTTTTTCGAACGGAGTGAAGTTAAACTATCGAAAGTTCTATCGACCCCGTTCTCTATTGATATCGAACACGTGTCTATCGCAATATATATCGTTTTATCGCCCAGCCCTACCTCGGGGGCGCAAAAGAAAAAGGAAACCAGAGGAACACGTCCGTAAACTAGCCAAAAAAGCCCGGCACAGTGGTGGCGCGACCGCAGCCGTCGCTTGTGTACATAACAACGTGAATGACATAGAGTACATACACCACACCTTGTATACCACCACAGACAAGGTAAAACAAGATGCCACGCACCGGTCATACATGGATGTCACCTAGGGATGTACCGATCCGATATTCAGTATCGGTATCGGGGGCCGATATGGGTATTTTGTAAGGATCGGATAATATTGGATTTGTTAAATATGAAGCCGATTTACGTCACTTTTCAGCATGTTCACGCTTTACGGCTGCCGTAAACTAAATACAATGTAAGGCTAGGGCTTGGCGAGAAAACGACAACGAGATATATTGCGATAGACACGTGTTCAATCTCAATGGAAAACTGGGTCGATAGAATGTTCGTTTAGCATCACTCCGTTAGAAAAACAGGACAAAAACACAGAGGCGCGCGGCATTCTGGGGGATGTAGGCAGAGGCTTCTCGACCCATCACAGCCAAGCGTGAACCGCAAAACATTCTGGGAAATGCAAAAACAACAACCGCACCATGCTTAGCGTACATGGATCTAAAGATTGTTTTTCAATGCCTTGTCAATGGTTATGCATGTCCGTGCGAGGCTCAGCATGTGCGGCGGGAGAGGCAGCGGACACAGAGACCTGGTGCAGGCGGCGAAAGCATGTGATGAACTTTTTCCTCCGTGCGGCGATCAGAGAGCGGCCGCACAGAGCCGTCATGGGGACACAAAACAGGAGATAAACCAGGACTAACTATTGGGGAGACTGCTTGTGAACATATTCCTCGAGCCTCATTCCCCGTGACTGTAAACAAGGCTGCTAACGTGTGTTAGCCGACACGACAAACATGTTTATTCAGGTAAAAAAACATTTTAAAGTATTACTGGTAGCAAAATCTTTAATACTTTGAAAATATTAGAAAAAATTGGATCGTATCGGATCGGTATCGGCAAAACAATATTTAAGAATATCGGAATTGGATCGGATTACAACAAATCTGGATCAGTACATCCCTAATGTCACCACAGTATTTATCCTGAATTTCTCCTACGGGGGATCAATAAAGTATCAGTAAAACGGAGGAGATCAAAGGTAAAAGACTGTGCACAACAGAAGTCCAGAGACGTGACGGTGAAATATTCTGTCTTAACCAGAGCACAAGATAGGATCCCAGTCTGCAAATCCTCATTCATGAGCCTATTCTGTGAGTACTTTGAGTTCCTTCTAATAGTTGTGTAGCTTTGTCTTTTGTGTGTATGTGATATTTAACATAATGAGAAATTGCTATAAACCTTTAAGAAAACACTTGTGTGTATTTAATCTGGAGTCATAACATACCATTTGACAGTGATTTATAATTAACTAGTGTTTGACGTTACATTTCTGGGGCAAACACAGACTGTTCTCTGCAGTGTTTGTTTTTATCATTAACAGTAGTTGAAGCTAGTTACTGCATTTCCCTCTGGATCAATAATGAATCTATTTATTAAACTAACATTTTAGTGACATACTTTTGCAAAGATGTAGCTATATTATTGATCTAACTTTAACAAATCTGTGATTACAGGTGTGAAGAAAGGTCGCCAAGTATTGCAAACAGAATGGGGTGCCAATGCCGGAGGGCCGTGGAGGAGCACGGAGGTCTGAAGAGAGGGCAGCTCAGCGAGAAGCCATCAGAGAGCACATCCAGACTTTCACCTGCAGAGCCAGTCATTATGCGCGCAGAGGAGAAGAAAGTACCTTCCTGTTGATCTGAACGTTAGGAAGATGCATAGTTCCACAGTCAGAATGAGCAATCTAGTGCAACCTAAATCTGCCATTGGACAGACTTCGGAGTTGTGCGTCATCGTGGTCGTGGTGCAGGTCAGAGAAAAGAAGACGTCCATCTTTACACATGGTTAGAAAATGAGAACAAGAAGGACAGTAACATGGTGGCATCTGCTTTGCAACATTATCGGAGTCGTGTTGCTTGTAATGAACTTAGTCACCATAAAGAACTCAGACTATTTTCTGATTCTTGCTATGGGCAAAATAAAAATGTAAACATGCTCGCTATGCTTTTTTCTCTCAAAAAGCGCACACTAAAAACATATGAATTGAATATACATTCCCTGTGCGTGGGCATAGCTTTATGCCCCCTGACTGTGTCTTTGGACGACTGGAGCAGGAAATTAAGAAGAATATGTGAAGATTATGGAAAAACATGGAAACGTACACGTTTATGGACAACACTGGCAGTGCTGTGACTTTAAAGCTGCTGCTGCAAAACATTGTACCTCATCTCATTTAAAATAAGTGAAGCCAAGGTTTTGGAAATCAGTGGGGACAAAATAGGCTTTAAGCCGCTGTGTGGTGGAGATTTCTGTTACCACAGTCTTTAGAAACGTGGGAAAAGGTGAGAGACCTTCAAGCCAGCACTGGCTCAAAGAGTAAACTGTGTGAAGACAGATAAAAAAGCCAATGTCCTGAAACTCACAAACTTTGAGAGGACAAATGAATGAATCAATCTGAGCCCCAGTCTAATATGAAGCTACAGCTGCTTTTTTGGTTTACTTTACATGTTTTGTCCCAATAGTCTTGCCAGTTGCTATTTTCCCCTTTGGACTGTGAGCTGATTGTCTTGAGTGAGGATGGTCCTTTCTCTTTCACTGAAGAACCTGATCTAAAGATGACAGAAACCAAAAATACATGCAGGTGAAATCAAACCAAAATCTACAGGACTGTTACATAGTTATTTTTTCTGGTTTCAAAGTTTTAATAAGCCATAATGAGATAATAATGAGTTAAAAACACTAAATGTTGCATCATTTGATGAATGAGCAATTTAAAATTGCTCCAATGAAAGTTGTTCTTCTACATAGATTGTTTACAAGTTTGCACTTTTTAAATGTTGCCTTGACCTCGTGTTTTCAAAGGTGATTAAATATTGTGTTACAGTATCCAAATAACTTGAATGTGCTGTCACAAGTGACAATACATTTAAAATGTTTTAGTAATTTTGAAGTTTTTTTTAAGAAAAATCTATTATATTGGTTCATTCAAAGATGTACAGGCTTAATATATGTCCTTAATTTAATGTAAACGCAATCATTGCAGAGTTAAGCGTTTTTGACAACAACAAAACGATGGTTGGATTTATCTGCTTTTGTGCACAAATGTTTATGTTAAATTAAAAATATATATGATAAATAAAGTTGTTTTTTCAAATGTCTACTTTAAGTGTTTAATCCTTTGTTGAAGCCAGTAAAGTTTACTAACCTAAGTGTTACCATAAGGTTAAAATATATTGACAATTCATAAAAACGGAGATATCTGCTTTTGCAAATGAACATGTATTTGTGGCACTTTGAGAACCGCTAACCTAGGTGTTTGTCCCGCGGGTTTGTTATTATTGTATTTAATGTGATCAAACTGTTTGATTCTCTGATCTGTTGTTGGTAAATCCACAACTGTGTAAAGTCCTCCGAGACGACTGCTGCTGTGATTTAGGGCGATACACATTGAATTGAACTGTGTTGTTCCCGGTCGGGGGCTAATGCTAATGCTAATGCTAATGCTTTATCTAACAAAGGATTAAACATTCTAGAAAAAACATGAAAATAGACAAAACATGAGGCGAAGTGCAATCGTGCAATAGCTCCATGGTGTTAATATTAGGGTTAAAGTAAACAGATGAATGAATGTCCATTGAACAGACGGTAAAAGATGCTAGCGGCCTGTGGCTAATGCTAACGCTAACAGCACTAGCATAACACACACTCACCGATCGCACGGAGCAGGAGCAGCTGCGGTGGTAGAAGGAGCTCTACACGGGGATCATGCAGATGTTCCCTCTGCTCCTTCTTCTTCTTCTTGTGGATTTCCGGCAGACTGTGCGCAGTCGGCGCATTGCTGCCTTTCACTGGTGGATCCAATTATTGCACCCTAGGTCCATTCAAATTCTCTGGTACAATCCGGTACTAAAAATAAATTCCACAAGCGCACGAAAAACTTCTTGTTGCTGCACATGGGGAGCAAGCAATGACCTCAGATTCACACGCTCAAGTCCCAGGTGAAGAGCACGAGAAAACAGCAGTCTTCTTTGGTCCACATATTTCCTACATTGTAAGAGAACATGTTTCACTGTCTCTTGCTCACTGCACTCTTCACACAGGCCATCTCTGTGCTTTCCGATCCGATACAGGCTTTGAGCAAGTCCACAATGACCCAGTCTCATTCTGGTTATCATAACCTGCTCTGTCCTGTTGTTCCTCGGGTTGCTTTATCCCCCCCACTAATACTCTGCTGGATGCTGTAAAAGTGCCTTCCTCTTGTCTCCCTGTCCCATGCTCTCTGCCACTGCTCACACACTCTCATTTTAATTAGATGCCGATGCTCACACACACCAAATGCCACCACCACCTTTCCCTCTGCTCCAATCAGCTGCTGACTTTATGAAGCCCAAAGATCAAAGTGTTTCCAAAGCTGCGGATCACGTCCCCTCCACAAACGAAGCTTCTAGACCTTTTTCACGACAACCGGAAGTGCCACCTCGCAGCGCTGAGTCACTTCCGGTTTGCACCGTTTGTATAGAGAATTTAATATATACAGTCTATGATAGAGAAATGGCTCTAATATTTTCACCAACACTACTCTGTTTGCCAGCTTTTTCGTTCGCTGCTGCGGAAGCAATTGCAGCAGCAAATTCAAAAACAGATAAACGGGATAAGGGGTATAAATTCTTTCATGAAGAATAGTTACACGACTATCAAGGTAAGACTTATCAACTTACAGCTACGCTAGCTACGACACTTGAAGCACATAAATATGTAATACAGACGCCTAATTTGTGTGCTAAATTATTCGAAATTTGAATGGAGACATGGTATAGAATTTCCAATTATATTAGAACATTATGATATGTGTTTTTCATGTCTTATTAATGAAAGCAAACATGCTAAATGTTAGTTTTTACATGATGATGCTACATGTACCTTAATCATTCAAGTGTGCTTTGTTTCTGCATACTTATAGTATCAAATATTCTCGAGGGAAAGGTAGTGGTCAGAGCTAAATGCTTCAGGTCCATGAGGAGAAATGAGGAGCCGCACAGACTGCAGGTTTGAAAGTCAGAAAGCCGGTTGGCTTGTTCAGCTTTGAGTTCTTGAGTCGCCGACAGATGACAGCTGAAGAACGTTCACATAGGATGGACAGTTCCAGTAAAACTGAGAGCCTATACTCGCATCTTTCTGTTTGGTGGTTACTATTTCTCTTCTGCTGCTGTTGCAGCAAATCTAAACTACAATTTCTGTCTTTATAAGATAAGTTATAACAAGTAATAACGGTCAGTTCTAAAACTACTTCTCTGCTTTAGATCTCACTGGGTGCTGAAAAGGCTGAGCTGTTGGCTCATTCTTGTAGTTGTGCAGCAGGTAAAGGTTTTTGCAACCATGTAGTTGCACTTCTTTATCAGACTGCACACTACTCCCAGCTCCAGCTGTTCCTCCTGCCCTGGCATGTACGAGTGATCTACAAAGATGGCACAGACCAAGAACACAGGTAAATAAATAATAAGTCATTTGCTCAACTCTTTTCTATTGCATAATCATTTGGTATGCAACTTTCTTAACTACTTTAAGAAGAATATAATTAAGCTATTTATCTATCTCTTTAGTATATATATATATATATATTAGTATATATATTAGTATATATATTAGTATATATATATATAAAACGTAGAAGCCACCTACGCGGAGCTAGCTAATGATAAGCTAAGGTAAAAACATGTTCAGAAAGTACATAGTAGTGGTTTGTGTGTTACATACCAACTAATGATGAGAAAACACACTTACTGGTTTGCTGTGGACGCCATGTTCAGATGAACAAGACAATGTCGTGTTCTGGCCCCGGCTACATCCATGGAGGATTGGCTGATCGATTGCTTTGTTCTTGATTTACCCGGAAATAAAACATGACATTTCAAGCAGCGGAAAAAAAATGCAACACATTTTTGGACACTGAATTTTAAAACATTTAATATTTTGACACTGAATTTTAAAACATTAAATTTATTTACAAATAACTGCTGTTCTTTACAGTGTGTGTGTGTGTGTGAGAGTATGAGTTTGTGTGTGTGTGTGTGTGTGTGTGTGTGTGTGAAGATAACAATCACAGATTTATTAAAAACAAAAGCTAAGTGCAAAACCAACAGTTTGTATGTCTGAGACCAGGCCCAGATGAGGAGAATACTCCGGTCACTCATTACTCGTTGGTAATCTCCACACTTATGGAAAGGGATTCTCAAACAAATATACACACAACAACTTAAATACAAGCACAAAACAGAATGACAACACGTGAATACTGCAGATAATACGAGAAAGCACAGTAGCACAGGGAGGACGTTAGCTTAGCTGCTATCGATAGCTAAATGAAGCTAAACGTAGCTAGCTCACTGTGTACAACAGACAATCATGTACACAGTAAATACATTTCAGTGAGAGCTTTAACGGGATTTGTATCTAACCAGTTATTGCCAAGATTACCACAGACTAGTCACAAATCCAGAGCTGGGTGATTCTCCCTGAAAACCTTGAATTATTTCTTTAAAAATAGAATATACATACATGTATAGATATATATCTATTTAATTAATACATACAATATATTTGATAGATATAATTATTATGAATATGTGGGGATAATGACAATGTTATTATTGAGTCTGACACTTCAGAATCAGAATCATTTTTATTGCCACGTAAGTAACAGGAAGTCACAGATTCTGAAAATGCTTTGGCTCGGTGCAACAGTCAGAAAGAGAGGTAAGGGTAGAGAGGGCATAATAAAAAATAAAGAATAAACACTTCTATGGAATAAATCTAAAATAAAAATGTAAAGACGTATAAGGAATTAAGGAAAAAACTATGAATATATACAAATATGTTATTGTGAATGTCACTGTTGCATCACTGTAAATTGACTAAGCTGTCGTAACCACAGCATTTAATTTAATAAGTTCATTTAGAATAATATATAGAGGGTGGGAGTTTAAAAGTTTCTTCCCACTCCTTTTCGAGCTGGATTGTTGTTAATAAAACAAAACTGTATATTTGTACTTTTTCTACTTTTTCTTGTTTGCCGTGGCTCAAAATAAAGTATTCATTAATTCATACTGAATGTGTGAAAATGTAGGCCCACTTGCACAGTATTAACACAATAATAGTTATATTTATTTGCTTATATTAAATACCAGGCTGGTCATTTTTTCTACCTACTTTCATGTAACAAGGGTAAAATGGAGCAGCTGTGATTGCTGACCAGCCCATAAGAAGCTGATCACATGATTAACCTTCAATATACCGCAAACATGATTTTTAAAATATCACTCCTGCCTCTTCCATCTGCCATTTTGTCCTCTCAGGGAACTTTTAATTCTCTAAAAGTCCTCCTCTCTACTCTTAAGAGATCCCACCTCTCTTAGGGGCTAGGATTATTTAGGAATAGACATTTTCCTTTCTAGGATCTATTCTTCACTTTTAGGGGAAATTCTAAGAGTAGGTCAAGTTTCTAAGAAAATTCTTAGAATTTGGCCACTAGGAGCAACTTTTAGCACAAAGAATCTTTAGGAATACGGCCCCTGCTTCTCACAGGTTTTAATGTGTCCACGAAGAGATGACCTATGAGTATAAGACTTTCCACACTTTTCACAGACAAATGGTTTCTCCCCAGTGTGGATCCTCTGATGTTCTTTGAGAGAACCACTGTGAGAAAAACTCTGATGACAAACGTCACAGCTGAAGGGTTTTTCTCCAGTGTGGATTCTGCTGTGGAGCTTGAGACTTCCTCTTGTAGAAAAACATGTTCCACACTGATCACACTCATATGGTTTTTCTCCCGTGTGAATTCTTTTGTGATCATTAAGACTTCTTCTTATAGAAAAACATGTTCCACACTGATCACACTCATATGGTTTTTCTCCCGTGTGAATTCTTTTGTGATCATTAAGACTTCCTTTTGTGGAAAAACATGTTCCACACTGGTCACACTCATACGGCTTCTCTCCAGTGTGGCTCCGATGGTGACGTGTGCGATCTGCTGCAGATCTAAAAGTTTTACTGCAGAGGTCACATGCAAATGGTTTTTCTCCAGTGTGGATTCTCTCATGTCTTTTGTAAGTGGAAAACTGAGTAAACTCCTTCCCACATTCTCCACAGACAAATGGTTTTTCTCCAGTGTGGATTCTGTAGTGCTCAGTGAAATCAGATAAATGTTTAAAAGTCTTCTCACACTGGTCACATTGGTGAGGTCTCTCTGCTGTGTGGACACGCTGATGTGATGAGAGCTGGTCTTTTCTCCGAAACGTTTTTCCACACTCGTCACACTCAAATGGTTTCTCTCCTGTGTGGATCCTCTGATGAACCTTGCGAGTACTCTCTCGTGTAAAACTCTGACCACAAACGTCACAGCTGAAGGGTTTTTCTCCAGTGTGGATTCTGCTGTGGCGCTCCAGATTTTCAGCTTTAGTAAAACCTGTTCCACACTGATCACACACGTATGGTTTTCCTCCAGTGTGAGGTCTGTAGTGTCTCTTTAGTGCAGAAGCAGAGCTGCAGGTCTTTCTACACTGATCACAGGTGAACCCCATTTTGTAGATGGACTTTGTAGATCTGCCACAAACACAACAAAGACATGTCAGATCATTATTATAGAGATTTACACTCATGGAGGTAGAAGTGAGAAATGACATGGACAAAGACACAGACACAAACAATGTTGAACTTTGTGTAAGCTCTCAGTCGTACAGGGATTAGTCAAAACAAAGGAAGGTTGCTCACCCATCATCTGTACTTCAGTTAGCAAGGAGAAAGGAGAGGAACAGCATAACTCTAGAAGAAAGACAGGAGAGGACCGGCATAACACTAGAAGAAAGACAGGAGAGGACCGGCATAACACTAGAAGAAAGACAGGAGAGGACCGGCATAACACTAGGAGAAAGACAGGAGAGGACCAACATAACACCAGTAGAAAGGTAGGGTGGAGAGGCCAGAGAGAAAAACCAGAGAGAGACCAATCCCTGAGTGACTAAAGTCTGCCCCTGGAGGATACAGCGGGAGTGGCGCTCAGTTTTACGGTGAGGATTCTGTGGTCAGTTCAAAACACATGAGAAACTCCTCATGTTTCACTAAATACACTCTGCTCCGAACAGAGAACCAGAGAGAGACCAGAGGGAGACCAGAGGGAGACCAGAGGGAGACCAGAGGGAGACCAGAGGGAGACCAGAGAGAGAAGGCTCAGAAACACATGAGCTCAAACACATGAGAAACTCCTGATGTTTCACTAAATACAGTCTGCTCTGAACAGGACTGTGCTGTTTCTGTTTCCTTCACATTCCACAGGAGCCAAGGCCGAGGCTGATAACGGACTCTCTCAGACAGCAGACTTCACACTTCCACACTCTCTCTCTCTCTCTTTCCCCAAGGTTATGCACAAACACTTGTCTGTTCAACTGTGAAATGTTGTCTTTTATCCCCAGCTCCAGTTGCTGATGTGTGGCTCTTGCTCTCAGGACGACCACATGGGGGAGGAGAGGAGGGGAGTTACCGGTAACCATCAGCACAATGTGGATTTAAAATTGACATTAGAAGAATTAATATCCGTTGAATAAACTGATTAACAATGCACTTTACTAGCAACTTTTGCCTAATGCTAATGCTAACACTAGCAACACACACAGACTCACCGACTGATGATCTCACGGAGCAGCGTCTGCGGAGTGAAGCCGTGTTCTTCAGACTTTCACTTCTGTCTGTGTTATCTTCACTCACACACACATACATACACACACACACACACTAAAATACATACACACAAAGCCACACACACACACACACACACACTAACACACGCAGACACACATACACACAGAGACCTTCACTGCAGCGATATGAGAAATCAACAATACATGTTTTTATACAAATACAATCTCACATATTTCTGTCGTGAATGAATGTTGGGTTTAAATGTTTATTTTCCAGTAAAACCATGAGTGTGAAATAAAACACATCCTCTCACTTTGTCACTGTTCAGTCACAAGAGTTTGACAAGCCCAGGTCACTGAACTCAAAGACAGAGAAACACAAAGACAAACCCAAGAATGGCTCTTGGAAAGCAGCTGCAGTACATCCAAAATGCAGCAGCTAGAGTCCTGACAGGAACCAGGAAGTATGACCATATTAGTCCGGTCCTCAGGTCTCTGCACTGGCTTCCTGTGGCTCAAAGAATAGATTTTAAAACAGCTCTGCTTGTGTACAAGTCTCTCCATGGCCTTGCACCAGAATACATTAGTGACATGTTGGTGTCATATGAACCGGCCCGGACTCTGAGGAGCACAGGGACTGGACTCCTGTTAGTGCCCAGAGTGAGAACCAAACATGGGGAGGCTGCGTTTCAGATCCATGCAGCTAAGATCTGGAACAATCTCCCTGAAAATGTGAGGGAGGCGTCTACTCTGTCAATGTTCAAATCCAGGTTAAAGACTGTTCTGTTTGCCTGTGCATACAACTGAAGGATTTTATCTCCATTTTTAATGCACTGCTGTCATTTATTTATTTTTTTTAAATTTCTTGTGTAATTTTGAAAGTTTTAATGGTTTTATTCTTTTGTGTGATTTTAATGTTTTAATTGTGATTCTGGTGTTTGTTTTATGTGATGATTTGTGATGTGGACTGTGAAGCGCTTTGTGTTGCCCTGTGTATGAAAGGCGCTCTACAAATAAACTTTGATTGATTGATTGAAAGACAAGTCCTCTGCCTTCAAACAGAGGAAGCAACGTCACAACTCCTGAAGACTGAGGCAGAAAACACAAAGCTGCTTCAGAAGAATGCTCCGTCTGAAGTTTCTTTGGGAAACCTCAAACAAGAACTGGAGGAGCTTTGGAAGAGATGTGGCCAAATGGATGGACCACTGCAAGAAGTCAGGACAAGACTCTGATGCAGCAGGAAATCTGGACCTGGACCTGATGAGAGACGGGATCAACAAGTCCAGGGACCGGAAGATCGCACTGAACCTGCAGCTGCGACAGGTTCAGGGGCGACTCCGAACGGAACAAGACGCCAACAGTTTTTTAATTTTTTTTATAAACTTTATTAAAAACAATAGAACATATACAGTGCCTTGCGAAAGTATTCGGCCCCCTTGAACCCTTCAACATTTCGCCACATTTCAGGCTTCAAACATAAAGATATAAAAAAATATATTATTTGTCATGAATCAACAACAAGTGGGACACAATCGTGAAGTGGAACGAAATTTATTGGATAATTTAAACTTTTTTAACAAATAAAAAACTGAAAAGTGGGGCGTGCAATATTATTCGGCCCCCTTGCGCTAATACTTTGTAGCGCCACCTTTTGCTGCAATTACAGCTGCAAGTCGCTTGGGGTATGTCTCTATCAGTTTTGCACATCGAGAGACTGGAATTCTTTCCCATTCTTCCTTGCAAAACAGCTGGAGCTCAGTGAGGTTGGATGGAGAGCGTTTGTGAACAGCAGTCTTCAGCTCTTTCCACAGATTCTTGATGTGATTCAGGTCTGGACTTTGACTTGGCCATTCTAACACCTGGATACGTCTATTTGTGAACCATTCCATTGTAGATTTGGCTTTATGTTTTGGATCATTGTCCTGTTGGAAGATAAATCTCCGTCCCAGTCTCAGGTCTTCTGCAGACTCCAACAGGTTTTCTTCCAGAATGGTCCTGTATTTGGCTCCTTCCATCTTCCCATCAATTTTAGCCATCTTCCCTGTCCCTGCTGAAGAAAAGCAGGCCCAAACCATGATGCTGCCACCACCATGTTTGACAGTGGGGATGGTGTGTTCAGGGTGATAATAATAATAATAATAATGCATCGGTTTTATATAGCGCTTTTTTGGACACTCAAAGACGCTTCACATGTGTCATTATTCATTCACTCCATACACGGTGGTGATAAACTACTAATGTAGCCACAGCTGCCCTGGGGCACACTGACAGAAGCGAGGCAACCAGTATGTGCCATCGGCCCCTCCGACCACCACCAACCATTCACACACACACCAGACTCATTCTAGGCAATGGGGGTGAAGTGTCTTGCCTAAGGACACAACGGCAGTTTGGCACTTTACAGCCGCCCCACTGTGGCTGGTGTTCCCAGAGGTTAAGTGTCTTGCCAAGGACACAACGACAGTAGTCAATGGGAGTCGATGGTGAAAGTCTTGAGCGGGGCTTGAACCCACGACCTTCTGGCTCAAAGGCCAACGCTCTACCAACTGAGCTACTGTTGCTTTTACGCCAAACATATCGTTTTGCATTCTGGCCAAAAAGTTTGATTTTGGTTTCATCTGACCAGAGCACCTTCTTCCACATGTTTGGTGTGTCTCCCAGGTGGCTTGTGGCAAACTTTAAACAAGACTTTTTATGGATATCTTTGAGAAATGGCTTTCTTCTTGCCACTCTTCCATAAAGGCCAGATTTGTGCAGTGCACGACTGATTGTTGTCCTATGGACAGACTCTCCCACCTCAGCTGTAGTTATCTGCAGTTCATCCAGAGTGATCATGGGCCTCTTGACTGCATCTCTGATCAGTCTTCTCCTTGTTTGAGATGAAAGTTTGGAGGGACGGCCGGGTCTTGGTAGATTTGCAGTGGTCTGATACTCCTTCCATTTCAATATAATTGCTTGCACAGTGCTCCTAGAGATGTTTAAAGCTTGGGAAATCTTTTTGTATCCAAATCCGGCTTTTTAAACTTCTCCACAACAGTATCTCGGACCTGTCTGGTGTGTTCCTTTGTCTTCATGGTTCTCTCTGCGCTTTAAACAGAACCCTGAGACTATCAAAGAGCAGGTGCATTTATACGGAGACTTGATTACACACAGGTGCATTCTATTTATCATCATCAGTCATTTAGGACAACATTGGATCATTCAAAGATCCTCACTGAACTTCTGGACTGAGTTTGCTGCACTGAAAGTAAAGGGGCCGAATAATATTGCACGCCCCACTTTTCAGTTTATTTGTTAAAAAAGTTTAAATTATCCAATAAATTTCTTTCCACTTCACGATTGTGTCCCACTTGTTGTTGATTCATGCAGCTGTCAATAATGCTGAGGGAGTCACTCGAAAGCCAAAGAAGAGCACATCACGGGAATTATGGTAGAGTTCACTAGGGTGGGGGGTTTGTTTAGGGGAATACAGGGAACACCAGGCCAGTCTGTATGTATTAAGTGTACTTTGTAAGAGGGAGCAGATGGGGGTGTAAGGTGAGGAAAAGGGACAGACGCAGGCGAGCGTGAAATAAGCAGCCCTGTCTTAACATGCCCTCCCGGACCCGGGAACTTCAAAGGAACCATGGGGTTCAACCACAGGAGCAGCTATCCATCATAAGGATTACAGACGCCAAACGGACCCATAAAACAGCGGGATACCCATCTGGTGCCTTTTTCGTGTCAACAGAGAAGCTGATACGAAAAAGGCATTGTCACAATGCATTCCACGGACCAAGGGGTCCACCCGCGGCCCTCTGACGCTCCCTAGCGGACACTGGACGCTACCGCACCCAGACGAACACTCGAAAAAGGACATTACTCGATGATATTATGATTGATAACCGTTGCAGACCTTACATGTGTGTATCAATGTCAAAGTAATGGAATTCGGTGTGTGTTTGTACATGTGTTATGATCTTCTGTATTAATCCTGTGTGTTACCATTTTAACACATCTGTTGTGAGAAGGCTGTCGCACATGGATGACGTCAAGGGACGCGCCCCCTTCAGAAGTCCATATAAACTCCCAGACGCCATTGTACTTTCTCTTGTTTCTCCCGAATTCATTATAACAACCACCCCGTGGGTACGTGTCCCCTACACGGCCTACGCTCGCAACCTCCCTCTCAGCCCTGCGGCCACGCAAGTACGTGCCTCCAGCAACGACTGTGCCGTCCGCCCCGAGGCCTCCCGCTTTCACGCAAGCCTCCTTTCTGGTTGGAATCTACGAACTGTTCATCACCAGCCTCTTTCCCTGGCTCGCGTGCATCAGCAGCTGGACCAGACTCGCAGGCTCCGTACCTCCCGCCTGCCCGGACAAAGAAACCACGTGGGCTGATTCCCAACCCAAATCCCTTCTCCTTCCTCTACGCTCCTTCAAAGTAAGACTGCTCCATGTTAAATGTTCAATTTGAATGAAATGTGTACAGCTCCTACTCAAATGTGACCAGAAATCCCTTTTCGTTATGTTTTATCCCACTTTGTAATCAATAAACCCCTTTTTCTTTAACTCAATCCTATCAGAGTCGTGTTGTTAGATCTCGGACTATCCCTGGCAGATAAAACGTATTCTCTACCTTTAGATTATAAGATTGATATCGAGGCAAAGATTTGGTTTGGTCTGTGCAGTGTGTCCCACACATTGCTGGTGCCAAAATAAATATAAAGCAGACCCACACTACCAAATTTATACTAATAAGTAATTATAATCAGCAATATAAGTAGTTACCCTACAGGGGTCAGACTAGGGCTGAAACAACTAATCGATTAATCGACGACTAATCGATTATTGAAATAGTCGACAACTATTTTAGTAATTGATTAATCATTTTCTGGTTCACACGGACTCAAACAGAGCAAAAATGACATGAAAATGTAGTATTTTTGATTAAAACCGACTTTGTTTTTATAATTTCATGAATATCTGTCTGTCTCATCCAATCAGAGCAGAATTAGCACAAAGAGCCTGTTACAAACATTTACTTTAAGTTTACGCCATCAATACGTCCTCGAGTGTTGCCACTTTAGCTTTTTGTGATGAAAAAATATTTTTTTTCTACACAATTCACAGCGAAGCGATTACTTGATTAATCGTAAAAATAATCGATAGATTAATCGATTACAAAATAATCGTTAGTTGCAGCTCTAGGTCAGACCAATAAGGGACTAAAGTTAATTTCCTGGAACGTTAATGGTTTAGGTTCACAAGTTTAAAGGCATAAAATATTCACTACACACTACATAAAGCAGAAGAAGGCTGATGTTGTCATGCTGCAAGAAAACACACTTGACAGAGAAACACATCAAATTATTGAGTGATAGATGGTTAGGCTGTGCGGTACACAATACTTTTAATCAGAAAAAAAGAGGGGTGGCCATATTATTTTCAAAAAACCTGAATTTCAAAATACTAAAAGGAATATAAAGATCAAGAGGGTAGAATTATTATCATTTTGGTAGATATATTAAATAAAAAATTCATAATGACAAACATTTACGCACCCAATGAAGAAGACCCTTAATTTTTCTACAAAGTCAAGACTGCTTTACTGGACTTTGGAGACTTCCCAATGGTATGGGGTGGAGATTTCAATGAAGTGTTGGATAACTTCTCAGAAGTGGCAAATATACCACTAGGCCCTCTAAGACACAAGACGCTTTAAAAATAATATGCAAAGATATGGGTCTAAGAGATATTTGGAGAATATTGAATCCAACTGAAAGAGACATAACGTTTTTTTCTCGTATAGACTATTTCTTAGTATCCCACCGTTTCATGAAATGTGTAACCTACTGTAACATAAGTACAATGGGAATTACAGATCACGCTCTGATTGAGCTAGGCCTCTCATTGGAACTGAAAGGAGACAAAGATTATATATGGAGAATGAATACAAGTCTCTTCGATAAGGAGGAGATTGTTTCTTATATTAAAGACCAAATATTATTTTATTTCAAAGTAAATAATGGATACACAGAGCAAAGTTATATCTGGGATGGATTTAAGGCATTTATTAGAGGCATTTTTATGCAGAAAACAACAAAAGTAGCTAGACACGAATCGGAAATTAAACACTTGGAAAAGGATAACAGGATGTCTCCAAACAATAACCAAATCTTAACTAAAATAGTCAGGGCAAAATATGAATTAAATAATCTTTACAAAAAGCTAAACACTCCCTTCACAAGCTGAAACAAAAGTGGTACGAGTCTGGCAATAAAGCCGGTAAACTTCTAGCAAGCCAATTAAAATCAAAACACTCTGCTCAACAAATAAGTGGAATACGGGACAAAGATGGAAAAGTAATTACAGATTTAAGGAACATTAATAATATCTTCAAGGATTTCTACAAGGAATTATATTGTCAAGAAAAAGAGTTTGATAACAACTTAACAGAGAGGTTCTTGAACTCTCTAAATCTCCCAAAACTCTCAAAAGAAAAAGCAATACACTTAGAAAGCCCAATAACACTAGAAGAAGTAAAAAAAAAAGCTATTTTGGCTTCTCCCAAAGGTAAAGCAGGGGGCTCAGACGGCATTTGCAATGAATTCTATCAAAAATTTGTAGAAGAGTTAAGTCCAGAGCTCCTACTAACATTTAACAACATTATTTCTTCAGGTAAGCTTCCTAACTCAATGTCTGAATCTGTTATCACACTTATTCATAAAAAGTACAAAGACCCTTTGGAATGCAACAACTATAGACCAATTAGCCTTTTGTGCTGTGATGGGAAATTATTTACAAAAATATTAGCAAACAGAATGAACGAAATCTTATTAGAACTCATACACCCTGACCAAGTGGGGTTTGAAAAAGGAAGGAAATCCTCAGACAGTATGAGGAGACTTCTCCACTTAATCTGGAAGGCCTAAGATCTGAACAAACCAACCGCGGCAATTTCTATTGTTACCCAGAAAGCCTTCGATCGGGTTTCCTGGGGTTATTTGCATAATGTTTTAGAAAGGTTTGGTTTTGGCAAAATATTTCAGAAAATTATACATTCTTTATACAATAATAGTAAGTAAGTTAGTAAGTAATCTTTATTTATATACCGCCTTTCACAGACCAGAGTCACAAAGCGGTTTACAATTGTTATTTTTGGGCACTTATTTCTCTCACTCCACACAGAGATGGGAGTGGGGTCGCCGAACAGGAGGCGCATGCCAGACCTATTGTACATATTTTTAGTGGTAGGGGAAACCGGAGTACCCGGAGGAAACCTACGCAGACACGGGGAGAACATGCAAACTCCACTCAGAAAGGCCCTGGTCCGGCCGGGATTCGAACCCAGGACCTTCTTGCTGAGAGGCAAGAGTGCTATCCACTCAGCCACCGTGCCGCCATAATCTAACATCCAATGTTACAACAAATGGCCTCAGATCAGCCCCTTTTCAAATTGAACGCGGTACAAAACACCTCTTTATAATTGCACTGGAACCCCTTGCTGTAGCAATGAGAGCTAAGAAGGAAATACAAGGCATACAAATGGCAGGAATAGGGCATAAATTATCAATATTCGCTGATGACGTGCTCATCTTATTATCAGAACCAACATTTTCCATCCCACCACTTTTAGAATTAGTTAATTAAATTCTCCAGCATCTGTGGCTACAGGGTAAATTGGGACAAATGTGAAATCATGGCATTATCAAACCTCTGCTGTGAAAGCGACTTCATAATGTGGAATTTCCGTTGGGTACCACAACAAATAAAATACTTGGGTATCTATTTGAGCATGGGGCTGGACAAAATAATGCCATACAATTTGGATCCCGTCTTGAAACCGCGGTAAAGAGGTCCGGCTTTTCGGAGTCAACAGTAAAGAGGCCCGCACATTTCTAGCGGGTCGCCGCTTTATGCTGTTACTTACGGTAACACAGAAAAGAGAAGCCGCGGGGATCAGCCGCCACAATGCATTTTTTAACATGTTTATATTTTTTTTAAATAAAAAACCTTAGAAAAAGCTTTCACTGCACACTTGTTCACTGTGATGCCCTCTATTATTGTGCAAAGTCACATTCACTTTTACTGTAGAAATTCCAAGAAAATGGGGGTCAAAGTGTGCAATAATGATCCAAAATGCACTTTTTAACCTGGATTCTTAAAAAAAGTAAAAGCTTTTTCTAAGGTTTTTTACTTTTTTTTAAAATCCAGGTTAAAAAGTGCATTTTGGATCATTTTTGCACACTTTGACCCCTGTTTTCTTGGAATTTCCACAGTAAAAGTGAATGTGACTTTGCACAATAGTAGAGGGCATCACAGTGAACAAGTGTGCAGTGAAAGCTTTTTCTAAGGTTTTTTACTTTTTTTTTAAATCCAGGTTAAAAAGTACATTTTGGATCATTATTGCACACTTTGACCCCTATTTTCTAGGAATTTCCACAGTAAAAGTGAATGTGACTTTGCACAATAGTAGAGGGCATCACAGTGAACAAGTGTGCAGTGAAAGCTTTTTCTAAGGTTTTTTACTTTTTTTAAAGATTCCAGGTTAAAA